TCTCTTACTCCGCGCCCCCTCTCTCCTCCCTCCCTCTCCGTCCCCCTCCCCCTCTCTCCCCCCCCCCTTGCCTCCTCTCCGGGAGGGCCGGGGGGGGGGGTAAAGACTCCAGGTAGTAACTCTATGCTTTCTAGTATGTTCTCTAACTCCGAAGCCCTTGGATACTGTAGAAGGGGCGGTCCCCTGGCTGGGAGACTAAGGGCATAGAATCAGGGTCGAGGTAGGTGTGTGGCTTAGCTCTATGATGGGTATTGGATGCCTGGGTCTCAGGGGAGAGGAGGGAGCAGTACAAAATCCCCTGGGCAGAGGATGGTTTGCTTGGTGCTCAGCAGGAGGGGAGGTTGTAGGATTCGGTGGGGTGTAGCACTATCCCTAAAATGATCCCAAGTGAGGAGGGAATTCCTTCCCCACTGCAGAGAAAGTTAATCAATCTGGAGACAAGGCTAGACCTTCCTGTGAACTGGGTCCTTGGGTTCTATCTCCTGCTAGTAAGTAGGTCTTCCTTTAGGTCATGCTCAGCTTCAAGCGTGTCTTCTGGTCCCAGAAATGGAGACTTAAGGCCCTTTTTACAGATGGAAAAGCTGAGTCCCCAGAAGGATGTGACTTGCCCAAGGTCATAGGGCAAATCTTATTACAACTATGAAGAATTCAAAGCCTAAGTCTCTGAGACCTAGATTTTTCTCCCCGTGGGCAGCGTGAGTTGCTTTGGGAGAGAATGAGAGACCCTCAAAATGCAGAGAATAGAGACTGTTCTGAGTCTTTGAAAATTGACAGGTTCAGATTAGTGAAGACTAATGGCTCGCCCTCCTAGCCAGAGGAAGCCATCAGACATGCTAGGCTTGTCTGCTTTCTCTGTCCCAGATCACAACTTTGCTTGAATTATTTCTCTGAAAAGGAGAACCTGGGGAAGTGACTTAAAAGGCATTCCCAGGGCTCTAAAACCCAACCAGGCTCTGTGGGGAGGAACCCAGGTTATAAGGGACCCAAGGGACCTTAGGATTCCCTGGGTCTCAGAAGAGCAGCCTATACCCTTGACTTGAAATGGAAATGGGGCTGGTTGGGTCCTACCCTGTGAGTGTAATGGGCTTTGGCTAAAACACAGAACTTCCCGAGCCAGAAAGAATTCTGGAGGCTCTAGCAGAAGGTTCTTAATAGGCAAAGACCATTTTGGAATCCTTGTGCAGGTTTTCCAACATCTCCCCAGCTCAGGGCCTTTTGAGCTTTGTAGGCTAGGCTGCCAGAAGCTGCTTTGCGTAAAAAGCAGAGTAAGGAGCGCGCAGCGCTGTCTGGAAAATGCCCAAACTCCCTGCCCTTCTTCATTTAGCCAGGAGGCCAAGCTGAATGCCCAGGACCCTTAGAAGCTTAGAGATTTAGGATCCATACCCTCTCCCTTAGCTGCAGGGGATCCACAGACCCCTCTGCAAAGTTAATCCCTGAGCCTTCGGAGGTGGAGGCTGAGGCGCAGCGCAGTGCGCACCAACTGTGCTTGTTAAATCGCCCTCTGCGCCCCCGGGACAGCCTGTTCTTACAGTGAGTGGTCATCCATCCACCGCCTCTGAGGCCTCCAAGACCCCTGCACCCCTCCACCTTGTTAGACCTAGGCTTGCTTTGGAGGCTTGAGGGGTCCTTAAGAGAGAGGCGACAGCCAGAAGCCCAGAGATGGCGAGTAGTTTGGTATAGAGGGTTAGGCAGCGGCTGGCCCTAGCTCCTTGCTGTTGGGAGGGGGTAATGCTAGCATTGCCTGGGGGCTCTTTGAGAATCGAGCAAGGAGGGGGGCCCCCATGGGAAGCTGAATAGCTAATGGCTTGCCAGAGGAGGGGGCTTCTTTCTCTCGCCTTCGCTTTGGCCCTGAAAGAGAGGAAGACAAAAATCTGGCGAGCGAGGCTGCCGGGACCGAGACTGGCCACTTCAAACAGCCCTTCAAACAAAAGGAGACGACGAAAAGAAAGCCCCACCTGTCTCCAGTGTTTGCTAAAATAATAATAAATAGATTTCGTTTAATAAATAATTACAAGAGATTGTAAAGCGGGATGCTTTGGAAAACATCTCTGGCGGGAGTCGGCGCTGCCAGCCATCACCTGCTCCTAAGGCCAGCAACTTTATTGTTAAGCCTCCCCCCAACTAGTTCGCCTCTGATAAACTCTCCTTGGTCTTCACAATGACTGTTTACTCATAGTTAGCACAATATTACCTTTGCCGTGATAAACCCGGAGGGGGGGAGACCTGGCCCCTGGCCCCTGGGCACACCTGTCCTAGAAGCTGACACATGGATTTGGCACCGAGCGGGCCTCCCCCCCCGGGGGCCCTGCCCCCGTGTACATTGGCCCAATTGCCACTCATTTATAACAGGTTGGCTGCAAGGCCTATCTCGATCCTATTTGTCTTCTTTTATTGAAAGCATATGGTCTCCAGGGGCTCACCAACCCCATATTTCATCTGCCAGGAGCTGGGACGCTTCCGCTGGCTGCTGCTGCTGCCCAGCGCATTGCTCCCCACCCAACGGCTGCTGCGCCAGCTGAGAGCATGGTGGCGGTTGGGTGGGGACAGATAAGGCGAGCTGCTCACGGGCTTTAGGAGAGGGGCCATTCCCTTAGTGACTCCCCCCTCCGGGGGCCCTGGGAGCTCGTGCGCTCTTGAATGAGTGGCTGGTTCCTTTTCTTGGGTAGGTGAGAGGGCGCCATATGCTACCCCACAGAGCGCACGAGGGAGCTTCGGCCCAGGGAGTCCTCGAACAAAGGGAGGAGAGGGGCTGGGACGCACTGGAGCACCCGAGGTCTTTATTTCCAGATCCCCCGCTCTGCCTGGAGCCGCCTCCCCCCGGGCGCCCACAGCTCGCGCCACAGAGCCAGGAAACAAAGTGTCCACATTATTGCTGTCGCCGGCCGCGCCTGTCAATGCTTGAAAAGGTGCCTTGCGCACCCAGACACCTGTTGAACCCGCGCCTCTTCTCAGCGCCTTCTCCAGCTCTGCATTGGGTCAGGAGCTGCAGGGGAGTGGGAGGCGGGAGGAGGGACAGATACTGTGATTTGTGGCGACATATGTTGGGCAGCTCGCGTGTATTCCTCGCAGGCGCACGCGCACCCTCACTCCCATACACACCCCGCGAGAAGGAGCAGCTGCTTGCCTCACCTTCTCCTGACATAATACCTGGACTGGGCACTTTAGCCTCGCCTTTGAGATTCCAGTTCTCCTCTACCCTCTGTCTTCCGCCCCCCGACGCCCCAATCTTGGCAGCTTTACTCTGGGACTTTATTGTCTGCTTTAACAGATGTACGTTTGTTCCCAGCGTCTGGTCCCAAACACACACACACACACACACACACACACACACACACGTGCAAGCATCCACAGAAACTGCAACTGGAGACACAGATGCTGAGCGCAAATGCCCATATGTCCCTCTCCTCGCCCGCCTGGGTTGGGAAAATAAACAGACTGCGTGATTCTCCCTGTCCAAAAACAAACAAGGGAAGCCAGAGGAGGTGGGAAGCCACCTCTAAGCTTTACCAAGTTGGTGCCTACCCTTTTATGAAGCGCTCAAGCCAAGCGAGCGCTCGGAGAAGGACTCAGGTTGACCACCTTATGGCTGCCTGGATAGGGACCCTCCGGCTGAGTGGAAAGGGGCCCGCAGGGTCTGAATTGTAGCCCTATCCTGACTCTGGGTTCTGGCGACCATCTGAGGCCACCATA